TATCTATCTATCTATCTATCTATCTATCTATCTATCTATCTATCTATCTATCTATCTATCTATCTATCTATCTATCTATCTATCTATCTATCTATCTAGGCTGTTGTTATATGTATATGTCATCTTTTTTTTGTTGATGTTTTTGTAAAGTGAACCTACAAGGATATTTATAAATGTCCTGAAACAGCCCATTCTTGCTTCCAAGAGTGTTCAAGCTTCCACATCCTGCATGTGCATATACATCCTTTTAACGGACCGTTTGACCTATTATGTGCACAATATACAGGAAACAAAGAAATCATGTGTAATTACTACAATAAGCAATGACTCGCGTCATTATAGGCATCCTAGTCAGCCATGATATGTTATCTCTCGTAGACAAGAAAGGCAAAAGTTTTGTGAAATTTGTGATTTATGAAATTACAAAACCAAAATAGAGTTTTTGGGCTTTTTTGGCTCAGCACAGTTTGGCGCTTTACCTGATTGGTATTCTAACGCTGCACAAATGTGTGTAACTGAATCTGATATGAGGTGAGAACAGACGAACTTTCCACTTTCAGCAGAAGAATATAGAACAAAGTTTTTCAAACTTTGAGCAAATAGAAGAAAGAGGAGAGATTTTTTTTTAACCTAACTTCTATACATACAGATATGAGCACTTTTAGCTATTAGCTGGCTTCAAGTGGCCATAAATTAGTGTGAAGTTCTGGGTTTAGGTATTCCCAAAAATATGAGAGTACTTTGATTATATTAATAATTATTTTAAACACTTTTTGAAGCATATATTTTGATTTGTATCAGTGTATCTAATGGCATTAATAATGGCTCTTTCTCAGCTACATTAATTGAGTTGCCATGCTTTCTAAGGACTCTTTAATGTGACAGTATATCAAATGATAATAATAATAATACATCTGCTCTAAATAGACAAAAGTTTGAACTGCAAAAACACATTTTTCAGACTGTTGCGTGCCTTGTGTCTCTTTTTGTTTTTCATGCGTTCTATGCTTCAAAATGTGTTTTCAGGATCAGTTATCAGCAGACATGTACAGTTTTGTGGCCAAAGAAATTGACTATGCAAGCTACTTCCAGACAGTAAGTGCACTCACGTCTCTAAAACAGACAAAAAAGAAAAAGAAACACACTACAGATTGCCTTTTTCTGTCTGTCTCTGTCTAGCTGATAGAAGTCCAGGCAGAGTACCACAGGAAGTCATTAGAGCTGCTTCAGAGTGTTCTGCCTCAGATCAAAGCTCATCAGGGTGAGTCTCAGACCAACATGCTGCAGTCTTATTTTGTTATTCTTTCTCTCTAACTGCTTACATTTGCCTCTGCTGTAGTCCATATTACAGCGACAATGGGTAAACACAATGTGTCGGGCTGTACAAATGAAAGTGGTGCTTTATCCTTTCAAGTGCTTTTATCACCCATTTACCTACATTGTGTTTTCTGGTTTGACGCTGCTGAGAATTTCTTTATAACATTAACTGAAGTTATTTCATGCCTGATGGAAGTTGTAGTGTCGCCCCATTCACTTCACATATACCACTAAACATGAAGAATTTACATTTTTTTTAAATTGTTACATTTAATTGTTAATTGTTACATTTCTGATGATACACTTTACAGTGTTTTGCTTTAATAGAAACCAAAATGTCCAATCTGGAGCAGAAACCTGATTTGATGATATGCATGTGTTTCCTTTCACAATAAAAGCCCTAGACATAGAGACAAGAAACTAACAAAAAGCAAAAACTAGACAAAAATCAGCCCGGAGGGATAAAGAGGGAAAATTTTCCTGCTGTCACTTTGATTTGCACCAAAGCAGCGGAAATGGGTCCACAGTGGTTTATTCTTCCTAAGTGGACAGATTGGTGTCCCTGAAGTGTAACTGGCTTTGTGTTGTAATGCGATGATGAAGTGTTCCCTAACTTATTTTGAGCAGAGTAGTTTCTGTTGTTAAATTTGCTCCACAAAACACAGAACAGATAAGAAATAAGTCAACTACGTGTTAGTAGGTGCTAAACATATACAGTCGTGGCTGAAAAGTCACAGGAGACGAAATGAGCAAATCAGAGAGAATCTGGTTTTAAACGACTCAATGGAGGGAAAAGAACTTGTAAAACTCAAGCAACAACATAATTGTGACTATCAGGTGTAGTTTAATAACTTAAATTAGTACTGTAATGCACTTGATTACTACATAACAGGAAAATGTAATGTGATTACAGTAATTGTGTGTGAAACTCTGTGTTGTTTTCTGCAACATCATATTAAATCTTTATATATTGATAGAGTGGATGACCGAGTGATTGAGTCATGTTATCCATGAATGTGTTTTTGTTAACGCAGTTTGTCATTTTACCAGTAAAATATGCCAAATAACTGTTGTCTCTGTTAACTACAGCATTCACAGTATAACTCTGTAATGGTATGGTTGGAAACTATTGCATATAGTGAAAACCTTGCATTTGTTTTGGCATCGCTTTGCAGTCTGGAAAAAAATTATTTGATAAACTCTGAATCGCTGCAGTCATAAGATCATAAAAGCAGAGCTGCTGCAGAATGATCTGGGCATTTGTGTGTGAATAACTTGTGTGTGTGTGTGTGTGTGTGTGTGTGTGTGTGTGTGTGTGTGTGTGTGTGTGTGTGTGTGTGTGTGTGTGTGTGTGTGTGTTTTCACAGAGACCTGGGTGGAGAAACCGTGTTACGGGAAGCCATTAGAGGAGCACTTAGCGCTCAGCGGGAGAGATATTGCCTTTCCCATCGAGGCCTGTGTGACCATGCTGCTGGAGTGTGGCATGCAGGAGGAGGTAAACAAACCGGTCGCTTTTCACACGACACACAAGAAACACATTTATGGGTGTGAAATGTTGCAGAGGTCACCGCGGAGATGAAGTCAGTCTTAATTACCAGAGGGAAATCTAATCGGGGGCCAAGCCTGAAACGAATAATCAGCTGGAACATTAAACTAATGCTCACACATTAATACATCCATAGGTATAATTGAGTAATGTCATATGTCTGAAAAGCGACTGATTCAGTAGTTACAGGATCGGCTTTTTGCAGAATTTGTGTTGCTGTTGGCTTTATGAAACCCAACATGAAGCAGCTGGAACAAGGTTTAACGCCGCCAAGTCCAAGTATATGGTTCTCTCAGCTGGAAAAGGATGTAGCACCCACTCCGAGTGCTGCTGCACCAAGTGGATCTCAGTGTCTTGTGAGGGAGAGTGGAGAAGGAGACTGACAGATGGATTGGTGCAGCAGAAATTGTATCCATCTGCTGTTGTGAACAACGAGCTGAGCATGAAAGCAAAACTGTGGATTTACTGGTCAATATCCATTCCTGTTCTCGTCTATGACCATAAACTGTGGGTGGGTGACTCAAAAAAACAAGAGAAACTGCAGAGGCTGGCTTTGTAAGGGTGCTAAGGATGTCTGGGCTCTCACTTGGGCAGTACTCACACATGCCAGATGATTAGGGCTATTTAACTAACAACAATAGCTGCCTCAAGGTGTTTGTTATAGTAAGGTAAATAGAGTATTACAGAGAGAATCCCAGTGATCAAATTATCCCCTAATGAGCAGCACTTGGCAAAAGTGGGAAGAAAGAACCCACTTTTAACTGGAAGAGACCTCCAGCAGTACCAGGCTCATGGAGGGTTAAATATGTGCTGTGACCTGCTGGATGGTGAGGGTGAAAGAAAAGAGTAAAGTGAGAATAAAGTGATACAGACAATCACTCACTCACAAGACAAACTAACTGAGCCATGCTAGCTGCAGGTTACGATATTTGTTCCTGTACAGCGAGGTGATCACATATCACTACGATCAATTTCTCCTTCGTTTTGATGGCAAACTGCACAAGCAACCACGTCACTTCCTGACTATGACATGACGTGATTTGGTTGAAAAGTTTAACTTTTCATTAAAACTACTAGAAACAAAGTGAAAACGTGACTCAAAAATTCTACAGGTAACCCATTAATTACATATCAGGTGTTAGGGGTAAAGCCTGTGTGTACACATACATTTCAAACCTGCCTTAGAGATTAGGGTCAGGAGCATTGAAAGGAACCAGCTGAGATGATTCAGGTAACTTCCTAATATGCCTCCTGGACACCTTCTCGACAAGGTCTTTCAAACATGTCTAAGCTTCAGAAGACCTCGCAGCAGCCCCAGCACAAGGTTTGGTTGTGTAGCAGCCAGGATTTGGACCCAAATGCACTCACAAATCCAGAAATGAATTCAAAATGCATCCTTAATCCTGGTGTTTTACAATACAGGGAAAGCCAAATTACATGCAGAGCAGGAAATTCAAAACACGCAAAAACTCAGTGAACACAAGGCAAGGAGACACAACCATCAGAGAGGGTAACATTAAAAACACACCAGGTAATTAGGGAGATGGGAAATACCAGGGAGCCCAGCTGCAACAAATCAGGTAAACTAGACAGGAAAAGCACAACAAAATACCAATGCACAAGACAAAGGCTACCAAAATAAAACAGGAAATAACTAAACAGAGGAACAGACGAATACTTAACAATACACGAGGAACAGCAGGGAGGCAGAGTAAACTGAACGGAGGACTAACATAGATAACTGGAACAAAACAGAAAAACACGACAACTAAGAAACAACGTGAAGTGACTACAGAACAGAACTTAGAAGCCCAAAACTCAAAACTATGGGTCAACCACCCCACACCAGGGTGTTTTAGGAGGGTGTCAGTATCAAATGGAAGAAGCCTTTACTGCTCAGTGCTGCCCTGTGACTCAGATAAGAAGTAGAGCATAGATGGATGGATGAAATGGGAAATGACACCTTTAATTCTGAAAGCTGGACTTTTAATGTAGCATTTTACACTCTTCTGCTACTAAGAGAATCAGGCATTTGTAACACAAAATAAATTCAGCCTGTGTAATTCTCCTGCTGTTGGAGTTAAGTGACCTTGGCTTCGTTTCTGTGTCTCAGGGTTTGTTCAGAATCGCTCCCTCGGCCTCCAAACTCAAAAAGCTGAAGGCGTCTCTGGACTGCGGGGTTTTAGACGTGCAAGAATACTCCGCAGACCCACACGCCATCGCAGGTGAGCTATCAACAACACTGCCACATACCTAGACCTCCTCCCTGCCTCCTGGTTGTACATCATGTGTTCCCATGACAACTGATAATCCATTGAAATTTGCCTCACAGGGGTAGATTTATGAGTTGGCCCCCGTTGGCTTGTTCGAGTCTAGTTTCTGTACATTTCTGTTATTTTCCTTATGCTGAGCTACCCTCCTGTTGTCAATGAATGAATATAATCATAATCAGGCTGCTCGCATCAAAGAAACATTTTTAATCCCTTCTGCTGCCTGTCTTTGTTTCTCCTGCTGCTGTTTGCAGTAAATTTCCTATTAAAGGTTAAAGGTTATTTTCCTGGTGTGACACAGGAACTTTAGGCTCGATTAGGATTCACTTTGCTTCTGTGGTCACTGCTCGCGTGTCTGCAGACAAAGCAAAGTGTTTTTCTTCCACTTTCAATAAACTATCCAAGAAATGCCCAGTGATAAATTCCAAATATAACTGGGATTAGTGTCAGACAGATTCTTCATCTTCTGGAGAGGATGCAACAAAAAACCTCTTTTTGTTTCTGTCACGTATTCGCTTTTAAAGCTGCACTGTGACAAACTACAAAAGAAAGAAAAGCTTTCAAGCTTTTATGATGCTGTTATTGATCTTTTTTTTTTACTGCAGCAGCATATTGCTGTCGTCAGATGAAAACCATACATCTCCAAATGAAAAGCTTTTTACAAGCTGTGGAAAATATTTTTATCTTAAAAACAAGTGCATTTTTCTTAAAATTATCACACCGGCTGTTTTTCTATCGAAAAATAAAACTTAATGGTAAGCATCCTTTCAGCACAGAGAGGTGTCTCGCTAGTAATCTTTCTTTTATTTCTAAAATGACGAGGCTCTCAGTTATAATCATCTGCAGCATTTGTAGTAAATTATTTGTCAGTGTGTTTTCAAAAACATTTGTTTTATGTTCAGTGGCTTCTTTGGTTTTCTTTGCTGAGGAAACCGCCGTACTTTACGGATGTCCTTGTGTTTTTGGGTTGTTTTTTTGCAACAGAATATTGTAGCAAAAACGCAGTTTTTTATTTTTTGTATATAAGCCAGATCATTTAAGTCCTGTGTTTGTTCGCCTAGCTGTCGTACTACTGTTGGAAAAATGTGTCTTAATTGTTTCATGACCAAACTATTAAATCTTTGCTTTTACAAACAAACTGAAAACCTCTCTGATGCACAGTGAAGATTTTAATTTCTCAGCCGAGTATGAAAGTCAGAAAAAAAGAGTCATTTTCAACCAGTGCAGAATAATGCAGCATTAAATCTCAATTTAACTCACAGCTCACCGGAGCATGTGGAGAAAATGTCCTATTCTGCCCTTTAATGGTCCCATATTAAACTGGGTCAGCTCCACCAGCAAATTTAATTCGTCCCACTGTGGAGGAGGAGGTGGAAGCCCTGGTTCAGTGTAACTGCAGGCATTTATTTTGCACCATCAGTGCACCACCTATATGTATATGCATATGTATACACAGCTGTTTGTCGTCCATCCCTCTGGGGAATGGAAGCGGCAGGCCAAAGAGAGAAGACGACACGTCGCAGTGAAACCCGGTCAGCTGTGTCCTTCCTCATCAGTAAAGGAAAGCTCAGTTCTGGTCAGACAGAAGCTCGATGTGGATTTGTGTAGTTTTACAGGATAGCTGCGTAGACCAGTGGGACTCATTTCTGAGCACTTGATGGGACAAACCGTGCACAGACAGACTTTTCACAGGCACATAAACTTTTTCTAGTCATGAAAACAATCATTTGATTTTGATTTTCTGTTCTGAATAAACATACTTGTGTTTGTAATTATGGAAAATCCCACTGGCTTTTTGTCATGGGGACCAGAGTAATGGAGACTGCTGGCAAGGAAGGCCTTTCAGCCTGGAATTTGAATATATATACATCACATAAGATGTGCTCCTATATAAAGTGATTTAATCTGAAATCTAATGCCATTGTGCAGTGAGCTGCAGGAAATTACACTCACTCTCATGCAGTACATACGATCAGATCTGGGCTCGGCTGGATCGGACAGAGTCCACGCTGAAGCACTAATCATGGAGCAGATGGTTGCTTCAAAACGTTTATCGTCTTTGTTTCTATTTCTTTGTTTGGTGGTTTGTTTATTTCTTGATAAACGTCTTTACTTTCTTCATTTCCTTCCTTGCCTGTCTGCTATCTTCTTTCCTTATTTGCTTCCTTTTACTTTCTTTCCTGCTTTTCCTCTTTGCTTCTCTATTTTCTTTTGTTTCCATCTTTCTTTCTTTCCTTCTATGGTTGCTTCTATGTGCTGAAATACACGGGTGCAGACATGTATTTACCATGGTTCTTGCTGTGCTCTCTCCAGGTGCTTTGAAGTCCTACCTGCGCGAGCTCCCTGAACCATTAATGACCTTTGAACTCTACAATGACTGGATCCAAGCCTCAAAGTGTGTATCATCTCAGACCAATGTTGCCATCTTCATGTTAAAGGCATTTCTTCGACCTACTGTTGTTTTACAACCAATCTTTCATGTCGTCCTGCAGCATTCAAGATCAAGACAAGCGCCTGCAGGCTCTGTTCAATGCGTGTGAGAAACTCCCTTCAGCCAACAACACCAACTTTAAGTGAGTCAGCGTTTCCATGTTTCACTCCCCTCCTGGTTCTCTCTTTTTTCATATATTGGCCAAATAATCTGGTTAACCAGCTGAAACATCCCAGTCAGGCTCATTTTGGTTTTTTTAACTGCATATCGAAGGAATCAGGTCTATTTTCCGCCTTACCTCATTATATAACTGCATATAAGACTGGCTGGCTCTGCCTATAAAGAGGAGTTCATTTAACTGAAGGAAACCACCAAAGACATGACAAAGTGACCTGATGGTCAGAAATAGCTGGGCCAAAATGTTCATCTCATTGAGTCCCCAGTCTGTCACCTGTATCTTTGCTGACTGTCCCTGAGTGTTTCTGTTGCATCTGTAGTGTGTAAAATAAGTTCAAAGAGAAATCTTTAGAAAAACCTAAATCAAAATTGCTTTGCAAAATAAGCCAGCGCCAACAACTGCAGTTCCTCTAATGGCCACTTGAGGCAAATGCCAAAAGGCAGTCAGTCCCCACAGATTCTCGTGTTAAAATGCCCAACTTTAAAGCAGGAATATGTTTACAATCAGCTGTGGTCTCAGGGCACAGTTTCCCTCAGTTATAAAAACTGTATGAGGGCAGCTCAGTGGTTTTAATTGGTGAGGAGTTGTTGCCAGTTGTTTTCTCCTGAGCCTCATGGCTGCTAATTAGTCAATGAACTGGACTTTTACAGTTGGTTTATGCCTTTTTTAGAACATTTTAATGGAATTATCCAACAAACTGTTTGACTTGTTGTGAAGAATAGACCATCCAAGACATTTGTGACTCACATATAGTTACTGAAATTCCAGTATATTTATGTGATTTAGGCTAATTAGCAGGTATGTGTGTTTATGTGTTGCACATATTTATGTAGATTTTATGAGTATGATTGCAGTTTGCATAAAAAAGCTAGTTATTGATAATTTAGAAGTGCAACTTATTGTCTAAATATGGTCACATCTGGCTCCAAATCACCATCATGGTGACCAAACACTTCCACAATGTATCACAGAGGCTAAGCCCATCTTTTTGGTACAGTCTAAGATCAATCCCCTCAAAATGCCCAAATTTAGAGCAGAAATAAGTGTCTTTGCCGCCAGTAACACATTTCTTTTACTGCTGTTTTAAGGCTTTAAGTTATGCACTATTGAGGATAACAGGTTGGGAGCATTTTGTTTAGACTAAACTAGAGTACACGAGTGTGTGAAGTGGGGGCACTGTAGTTTCTAAACTAGAGATATATGACATACATCCTCAGTATGCTTGTGGCAAAAGAGGCAAAACCAAATATATTTTTGTAGCAGGCTGTGAAATATGCTTATTTCTCTTTTAAATAACAATGACAGGAGTCAACTGTTCAGAGGTGATGCAAAGGTTTTTGTTTTTTAGCCGTGATTAGCATCTATTTTAATATCACTGTCTACCTGAACTAGCCAGCTTTAGTACTGGTTCAAATAAGGTCAGGTTCAGATTAATGAAAGCCGAGATGGTGGCAGCCAGACTATTAAACCAACAATCTGTGATTAGGCCTCCTTCTATCACTTCACTATTGGCAACTATATTTATTTATTTTGACACTGGAATAATGTTCCTCAGAAACTTGAGCGTGAACCAAAAACAATACAGATAATACCATTCTGTAGATCAGAGGGTAGCTGTGGAGTCGGGAGATAATAACTCGTAGCTATATCGCTTTACCTCTATTGATTCTCGAGGATTTTTCTTCTTTCATTTTCAGTCACTTCTTGGTATCTGTTTGCTTCCTGAAAGCTGAAAAATGATTTCCAGCTTTCAGGAGGCTGATTCATTGTGCGCTACTTATCACCACCTGCCAGAAAAGAGAAACTCTGACCTTTATGAAACAGTGTGGAGAAAGAGGCGTTGCATCCCAGGTGTTGGCTGCTGGATTAAATGCAGAATGCTGAAAGGCTTGTCTCCTGATCAAAAGAAGAAAGTGGAAAGGCCTGACAGAGAAAAGGAAGAGAGGAAGTGATGGTACAGAAATGAGGAGAGCGAGGTGCAGCGGCACTTGTCAGCATCATCATCGAATCGCACAAATGCGTCGTATTTTTAGACGGTGCTCCTCTGAAGAGACCTGTCAGGCCTGTCCAGATGATTGCTGTTTGCCGTGATGAGCGGCCTGATGTTCAGCTCTGGATGAGTCATTCAGCTCAGCTACAGACATCCACCAGCCCATCCATTTCTGAAAACATCAGACACAGAAATGGTTGGCTGCAATAATAAGCTTTGCCTCAGTGTGGTTCGTGCATTCAGCAGGCACGCAGTTATCATTCAGACTGCAGCTGTAACACTACAGTATCTGCTGTTTGAAACTGACCGGAACATATTGGGATGGATGTAGCCATCATTATGTTTTTTTGAGCCAGAAGTGATCATATTTTGGATGAGAGCGTGGACTGCTAACTTATCAGCAAATGCCAGCATGCAGGATACAGCTGTATCCATAAACTGTGTGGGAATAATGCGCAGAAACATGTATATAGGCTAATATAATGCTAATACACCAAAACTGAAAGCCGCACAGAAACTCTTTAAGGTGCTCCAAAAGGCATCAAAACGAGGTCCAGCTTACAAAATTGAAGGAGAGGTGGGGTTAGCACATCTCAGTTGGCTCCAGCTGCCTGTATCACAACCAGGTAGTGATGTGTCAGTCGCAAATGAAACGGCTCTTAAAGCCCACTCTTTGAAGTGAACGACGCGAGCCGGCTCCTTATTGGGAATCGTGGTTTTTTTTTCCCTTTCTTTCTCTCACCCTCTCTCTCGCACTTTTTTCCGCTTCACTCCGCACGCGAGCCTTGTGCTTTGCGCTGGGAAGAGGGGGGAGGGGCAGTAGTTACACTCAGTGGCACAGGAACAGAGCGGGAGGGAGCCAGGGACAACAACGTCACATTAAAAAGGTATAGTAATCATCCACAACTATTTTCAGTTACGGATGATAAAGGATTCAGAAAGTTTATTGATGCAGGCCTATATGAAAGAGAATGTGCATCTTCTTTTTGTTTTTATATTTTTTCATATTTATATTTAATTGTGTTGTGGTTTGCAGTGTTTAGTGTTTAAATTTGTTTAAAAGGAAAAAGCTGAAAATTTAAATAGTTAAAAGTTGAAATGTAAATAGTTGGTTTTTGTATTATATGATTTATTTATTACATTTTATGTGGAGTGAATAAATAAAAGTATATTTACGGTGGCCCCTACAGACAAAGCACGTACAAACTCCAAAACATGTACAAACACAACAGAAGTGCTCCAGGATGCTAGGAGCAGTGTTGAGCTTTTGTTACCTAGTGGCTACACAAGCCAGGAAGTACCAACGACCGGATTTGGTGTTTGGTAGTAACAGGTAAATGAACATATTTTTTTTTATTATTTGAGTATATATGAGTGCTTGTGCATAAATACACAAACAATACACATATGCTTTCAATTGTGTAATTTAAGTGCTCTAGGTAGCTCTATTTTGGAAGTTCAGTTAACGCTAGAAATGTGTTTTGGAGTTTGTACGTGCTTTGTCTCTAGGGGCCACCATATATATTTATATATAAACATATATAAATTAATTAAAGCAGCAAAACAACCTGAAGAACCGGCTCTTTTTAGTGAGTCGAGCCGAAAGTATCGGTTCTCTAAAAAGAGTCGGAAATCCCATCACTACAACCAAGTAGCACCAATCAGTCAAAACAGCCACGCCCCTAACTCTTCACTAACATGCGGTGACGCTAGCGTTAGCCGTGTTAGCACGTTACCTGAAACAGGTGGTCAGGGTGAGTCCACAGGCGCACACCCTTCGTTCATCATATATCCGTTTTGGGCAGAGTGTAAATACTGAGGCTGAATGGCCTTTATACAAGCACACACACTTCTTAGCACTGCAAGGCTATGAGCACAAAACAGCAGTGTAGAAAAATCGAGACAGCCAGCCAATCAGTGAGCTCCTTAAGTCACACCTCGTGGCTAATTTGGATTGCTTGAGATTTTGGAAAAAGATTGTGAAAATCAGTTTTTAAATTTGGAATTTGAAATGAGGTTTTTATTGAGAGTTTAATACTTTTTTGTGAAATTCATTTTTGAAGTATTTATTAATGGATTAATAATTCATTTTAAAATGTTGATTTATAAATAGTGTTTTTATTTTAAATTAAACAATTAAATAATAATTTTGCTTTGGTAATGTTTAATTTTTGTTTTACATGTTTTACAAATGCGGGCGGCACGGTGGTTAGCACTGTTGCCGCACAGCAAGAAGGTCCTGAGTTCAATTCCGCCATCAGGCCGGGGTCTTTCTGTGTGGAGTTTGCATGTTCTCCCCGTGTTTGCGTGGGTTGCCTCCGGGTATTCCGGCTTCCTCCCACCCTCCAAAGACATGCAGCTTGTGGGGATAGGTTAATTGGTTAATCCAAATTGCCCATACCTGTGAATGCGAGTGTGAATGTCTGTCTCTCTGTGTTGTCTGTCCTGCAACAGACTGGCAACCTGTCCAGGGTTTACCTCGCCTCTCGCCCTATGACAGCTATCAGAATATTTATAGTAGTAACAGTTTCATGGTCTAAATGTTTAGATAGAGAGGTTGAATGTACATTTAAATTCTGTTTTTATTGAATAGTCTGTTTTCTGCACCTTAATTAACAGGTATTTAATCAAATTCCTGTCCAAACTGACTGAGTACCAGGATGTGAACAAGATGACGCCTGGAAACATTGCTATTGTCCTCGGACCCAACCTGCTGTGGACTCAGAATGATGGGTAAGTTATAGCAGATGCATATACATGTGGCTTGTTACCTTATCCTCTTCTGTGTGATCATAACTGAACACAAAATGCTGGATCTTGGTACCAGTGAACCATGGAAACAAATCAGCTGATGACGAGAGGAAGAGTTGTGCCGTGTGTTTGATTTGATTATTATTGTGCACTTATTTCATCCTGCTATCTCATCCTAATATTTTCACATCATGAATTATGCATGTGCTGAGATACCTTCTATACCATGACTTGCAGCTACAATTTAATTATGAAGTTAAACAAACAAAAGCAAGGGCCAGATTTAATTAGAGGCAAGCGAGTGAAGTCATTTTAGTTTTATTGTAATTCCTGCAGGTTTTATCATGCACTGCCTCCTGCTCGGCCCTTAAAATCACTTTTTCATGCAGTAACTTGATGATTAAAGGTGGCAGACAACGAATGGAGGGACTCAAAGGGATTCTCTCATTGCAGCTCAGTTTCTCTTCCTCTTTTTCCTTAATCAAAAAACATGGGCTGCTACTAACAAAAAGGCCTGCAGACACACAACTTCATCCATAGGAGACTGCTGTTATTATACCGTATATATTTAGGAGAAAGATGATGACTTGGCAGTTTTGAATAGGGTGAAGGACGTCTCCTTTTATATCTCTGTGTAAATCTTACAAACTCGTCATCCCCCTTAACTTTTAATTAGTACTTTAATAGCCCACAGTTCTGAAATGATTTTAATTTTCTCATTTTAATGCTTTGGTAATATCATGAAAATGTGCTAATCACCCTCTGTGTGAAATGCTTACAGACAGACAGACACTTCTCCCCCCCCCCAATTAAAAAAAAGTGTGTCTTCTCCGTTTGCTCCAGGAACATCACGGAGATGATGACGACAGTTTCCCTACAGATCGTCGGCATCATCGAGCCCATCATCCAGCACGCCGACTGGTTCTTCCCAGGAGGTGAGGAGGGAAAAAGAAGAGGAAACAGCCCTGCTTTGTTTGTTCTTGAAGTCTTAAAATGGCATTTTAGAAAATAAAATACTGAGTTGTTCCTGTTTTCTTCTGTCTTCGTTAGAGATCGAGTTCAATGTCACAGGAAACTACGGCAGCCCCGTCCACACCAACCACAACGCCAACTACAGCTCGATGCCGTCTCCAGATATGGATCAGATGGATCGCAAGCAGAACGACCAGAGCCGGCGGCCGCTCAGCGTCGCCACAGACAACATGATGCTGGAGTTTTATAAGAAGGACGGGTATGACTCTTCTGTGTCTCTTAGCGATGCATTTCAGAGCCCGACCGATATGTTGGCAGATATTAGCTATTTGCGGATATTGGTACTGGCATTTATGATGGCTGAAAATTATGAGAGTTGATCTTGTATGATTTGTTTCAGAAAGCTCTCTGCAACTTCCCACTGGCAGCATATATGTTTGAAACACAGCAATCAGCAGATCCAAGCAGAACGTAAACAAATAATTCACAGAACAAGATTACTTTTAAGCTGTACTGTCATAGATTCATAGATAACTAACTGCACATAACAAATATATTAGATTTTTAAATCGCCAAATATTGATATCGGCCTTAAAATCAAGTATCAGTACATTAAAAACAGTATTGGGATTAGGTCTAAAGTAAGAATGCACATAATCTTAGAAACAAGCGAGAGAAAGGTTACAGTGTACTTTTAGTCACTGCAGATCTGGAAAGATTGGCTTGGGCAAGTTATGAAAGTGTAGGTTAGTACAGAATATACACTCACCAGCCACATTATTAAGTACACCTTGCTACTACTCGGTTGGACCCTGTTTTTTCTTGCAACACTGTCTTCGTTTTTAAAGGCATAGATTTAGCCAAGTGCTGGAACCATTCCTCAGATTTTGGTCCATACTGACATGATAGAGTCACACAGTTCCTGCTGATCCAATATGTGAATCTCCCGTTCCACCGCACACCAAAGGTCCTCTACTGGATTGAGATCTGGTGACTGTGGAGGCCGTTTAAGTACAATCAACTCACTGTCATGTTCAAGAAACCAGTTTGAGATTATTTGAGCTTTGTGACCTGACATCTATTATTAAGGGATGGACATGATCATTAACAATACTCAGGTATGATGTGGTGTTTAAATGACACTCCGTAGGTCCTAAGGGAATTAAAGTGTGCCAATAAAATATCCCCACGCTATTACACCACCAGCAGCCTGACCTGCAGGATGGAGCCGTGCTTTTGTGCTGTTTACTGCAAAGTTGCAACAGAAATCAAGACTTTTCACACCAGACCACATCTTTCTGCTCTTCTATTGGCCAATTTTGATGAGCTGATGTAAATTGTAGCCTCAGTTTCCTGTTCTTGGTGTGGTCTGCTGCTAGAGTCAGTCTGCTTTGACCTTTTGTGAGTTCAGAGATGTTCTTCTGTGTCTCTCATGGTTGCCTCCCTATAAGCTCAGGGTAACTTAGCCGATTTCCTCTGACCTCTTGCATCAACGAGGCATTTTTGCCCAGAGAACTGCCGCTCACTGGATATTTTTTGTCTTTGGTCTTTTTCTGTAAATCCCAGAGATGGTTGTGTGGAAAAATCCCAGAAGATCATCAGTTTCTGAAATACTCTGACCAGCTTCTCTGTCAGCCAGTCACAATTTTGTTCTTTCTTCTTGATACTCGGCTTGAACTTCAGCAGATTATCTTGACCATGTCTGCATAGATTGAGTTACTGCCATATGATTGGCTGATGAGATCATTTGCATTAATGAGCAGTTAAACAGGTGTGCCTAATAAAGTGGCTGGTGAGTGTCTGTTGCAGTATGAATTTAATATGCAAATATAAACGGTTTATATGTGCACAGACTGACTCCCTAAATAAAACTTTCTCGTCTAAAACTTCCACTGATTCCACCTGTTTAAACCTGTCTCTGAATTAATTAGCAGTCTTCTCTGCGTACACTGTCATCCAGCTGACTGACAGCTAGAGACATTTTTTCTACACAAGGCCACATTGAGGCTCATAAACTTTCCACACGACTGCTTCCTGACAGGGTCGGACGTGTGAAGTAAGAGAAGGAAAATTCCCCAACGATTACACAAGTTTGCCGTGAGAAGTGACCTCAGTGAGAAGCTCAGTTTCACTCTGAGGTGGACAGAAAACGATACAGTTTCACTCTTTATCTACAGGACCTGCCCTCATAACTTTTCTCTGCAGCTCACTGAGACATCTGGAAGTGAGAAAGAAAAAGACAGAGGGTGAGCTGACATTTAGTCTGTGAAATGAGCAATCCGACAATCCTCAAACTGTGAAGAGGGATTAGCTGAAAACCAGTCAGTCGCTTTCTTTCTCTTTCACTGTCTGAATCTGAGTGTCTTTCTCTAATGCTTTAATACACCCATGGTCTTATCAGGGCCTGGGGGGAGCCTGAGCTCTGCAGCCCAGGGGCCACAAGTAGCCCGACTAATTAAACCTGGACCGTGTGGGTCGGATCAATAGAGCTCAACTTTCAGTAGAAACAGTCCTTAGAACCAAAGGCTGCTGCTCCACCAAAAGAAAGTCTGCTTTTACATGAGTCCTCTTTAATTTCTTACTTAATTTATGTCAGTCTAATAAGTTAATTAATATTTAGATACTAAACTTGCGGCACTTCTCTGCAACTCTGGGAGAGCAGGTGATGATTAGACAAATAGCCCAACATTCTTCTTCTTCTTTGACACTGATAGCACAGATTAGATCCCAGCTTGGATTAAAAAGCAACAATCATTATATTCACTTAATGTTAAAAGTGTAAGTTTAAAGGGCACCTATTACGGCCATTTCCAGCCCTGTAATCTTATTTTTGGATTCTCCTGGAGTAGCTTTGCATGATTCACAGTTCAAAACAATCCTAGTATGTCTTACCTCAGCCTTGCTACAGCCCTTCTCTTCATCCTCTGTCTGAAACTCACAGTTTGAGCTCCACCCATTTTCTTCTGATTTGCAGCGCACTGCAAAATAAAACTTATGATACTTATATGTTTTGTTACACAACACAACCTGATTGATAGCACTCAATCACTGAATCAATCACAAGAAGTGCAACGCTAATGCTAAATCACCACCACTAAGCTTCTATGTGCACCACAATTATCCTGAATGTTAATTTTCCTTGTTTAGCCGTTTATCTTCTGAAGTAAAAGCTTCAAATTTCATGAGTCAGGTATTTACTACGTAATTTTTTGCAATAGAACAAAAAAAATGTTCAGAGCTACAAAAACTACTACAGAATGTGTTAAAGCATTAAAAAAAAAACCCTGAACATTTTTAGAACCCACTGCCTGCGAGTTCAGGGAACTTGAAGTGCAAAATGCTAACTCATTTCCAGGTTTTAGGACTCATTCACTCTACTGAGGTCTAAATAGAGGTACTTCATGATATCTGCCGAGTTGCAGGATTTGCTCCCAGAAGAACTACTTGAAGTCCTTTAAGCTGGTGATGCTCTTTAGCAACATTTCCACATTCCACCTTTATACTGGCTTCATACTGGCCAGGGGTTGGAGAGCAGCCATGATGGCTCTTCTAACATCTGCTTATATATAATGTATGACGAAGCTGGTTAAATCCATAGAGATTTTATGCCTTTTTAAGTCTCCTGCTGCCCTGTTACAGCAGATCTTAGGACTCCTCCACCTGCCAAATCCCACTTTAACCCCTACTGATGTTTGATGACTTGTTGGGATCTTTTGGGAAAGTTGTTCATTTTTAGGAAAACTGTTACAAAAATCTCAAAATAACATCTGTATTTCGTGTAAACTGATAAGAAAGACTGATGCCTCATTAGAGTCTCTGTAACCTATAGCAAATCATTGCTATGGGTTCCACAACCATCTTTGGTAAGGTTTTCTCTGCCACCCTTATATTTAATGTTGGTAATATAAATCTTGTTCACTTCTTGATTTTGATGAGAGAATTGATATTCAAAGACTTGCCAAAGGGTCTGACTATAGGCTGGATTTCTATAGAAAACAGATGTTGAGGGTTCAGAAATGCTGCCTGTTGAAACACGTCCTTTATCGTGAACTACACTAAATCACTGCTGGTTGTGACTGGGAGTGAAAGTCTGTGCAAAACTCACTGAAAGATCCTTCATAAAACCTGTTTCTTCCCAGGCTGTGTGTACACGCTTGGTAATATCAGTAGAAATGCTTGTTATTGCTCAATCAGAGACCAACAAAAAGAAATGTCAAGACAAAGTGCCAGTCATTTTTACTTTGTGTTTCTACCACTGCAGAGAAACCACACTTACTAAAGACTCACTGCAGCTGCAGGAAACCTCTCGCATGTTTTGGGGGATTTTACTGTATCCAGCAGGGAAACATTGACCTGATTATAGCTAAATTCCTCCTTAGTTTTCGACATGGCCTCAATATTTCACTGTTCTCCTCTCTTAAAGCGTTATCCTGTTTCACTTCTTTGATAACAATGCTTTTATCGAGTCCAAGCGTACGAGTCTTTCGTGGTCTCTGCTCGTGTCCTCACTGTGCTTGTCTCTGTTTTAACACTGCAGCATTAGGAAGATACAAAGGTACGGTATAGCTCCTTTTCCTCCACTCATCCTCATGTCACTCTGTTCATCATCTGTTCGTCTCAGCTGCACGTTGAAAGGAGCTGTCTCTCATTTGTCATGTGTCTGAGTGTGTATTGCTTCATAGGGGTGTGTGTGAAATGATATATTTGGACTCCTGTAGTTCAGTGTCTCAGCAGAGTGGGGGGACGTGAATAAACAGGCCTGTTTCTCTCTGTTTACATAAGTAAGAGGCATCTTTGCAGTTTCTGATACTGAACTGACTCGTTCAGCCTGTGGATACAATAGTCTCTTGTTGCTTATCTCACCTGACTGCATAGTTACAGTTACTGTTTTTGTCTTATCGTACTAATTGAGGGGTTTTTGTGGTAATCTGTTTGAAATGGAAGCCAGTTAGTTTAGCTGGGGTAAAACACTATACTTTTTACTAACCTTGCATTATCTGTGTTATTGTCTAAGTGCAGATTGGGTAGGGGGACGTCTGCTGCTTGTGGTCAACCATCTATACAGTGTGCAGCCTTTCAGTAATTAAATAAAAAGCTTTTTGAATTAGATCAGCCCTCCAGCACAGCTCTGCTCCATCAGCCGGAGTCAGCTGTCTACATGTGATGGAATTTTTCTTTCTAGTACCGGTATTCATTTGTCCAAAACGCATTTTAGACTCATTAGAGGATACTTCTTTTAAACAAAGGAAAACTCAGGAGGTTTCGTGATTTATGACCTGCAGCATCGCCCTGAAAAGTTTACTTTTGTGTTTGATTTAAGACAACACTACTACTACACTAGTAGTAGTATACTTGTGTACTTATGGTAAGTGTATAGACAAAGTATCCAACTTGAGACAGTTATTGACTTTAAAGTAGCCACCTTGACATCACACGTAGTACAGTAGGTAATGTACCAAGGTTTTCCTCTAGTTTACTTTAAATAGGGCCAACATTTACAACATAATGCTGTATTTGCTAAGAAACAAAGTGATTCAAAGCATAAACTTGCGAGGAAAGGTTTTACTTTTATAGAATCTGACTTCTGTTTGGATCCAGAAGAGTCGCCACCTGCTGGCCATTTGAAAGAATGCAGGTCTGATGCATTGGCTTCACTTTCATATCTTTTCATATCCATCTTTTTATTTTTATTTATTTATTTTGTTTGTTTGTATTGGCTTGGCTTGTGTAGATTTCTTTCATTTTTTGAATTCAATTACATTTTTTTTCTTTTTTTTCTATAGGCATTTGTTTCCAGGCAAGGGTCACCTTAGATAAAAAATACATAAAACCACATTTGGTTTTATACAGAAGAAGAGCAGCTAAGAAGGGAGTGGTGGGTGGATTTAGATACCTTGGGCCTGCTGTTTCAACAGACTTTGTGCCATATTAAGTTAAACTACCTCAAACCCTAAGAAGAATTGACAAACCTTAAGTGTGGCATCGATCTTCCTCAAACTCTAGACAGCCAAGAGACCTATATGAGATCGATCAATTCTGTTTTAATGACACAGGAAAGTACATGTGTAATTAATTAGTTTGACAATGACTGTTTTCCTCAGCTAGCAGAATCAAGCCCACAGTGGGATAAATGCATTAAAAACCCTGCAAAATTCACTGGATTAGCACCAGCCGTCTGAATTATATATAAGTTGAAGCCCTGAAACAACATACCGTTCTCATCAGGAGACAGTGGAAAAGATGGATGTAGCAACTGTGATGTCACACACTGCTTCGCGAAGTCCTGCTCTGGCCTCATTTCCTTAGTCCTGGACGTTTCCACTTGCATGCAGCCATCAATTAATTCTGCTGATTTGCACTTAAAATGAAAAGGACGGAAACGCACATCCTGTTTCATCCAAACTAATTTTTGTTTGTTGAGTTATTTAAAATATATATTAGTTATTTTCCATCATGTTGCAGGAGAATGTGTGTTGTTGCATGCTGGGAATCGTGTGAGTGAAGCTGAGCGACCCTACCTGCTCGTCTGGGGTCGGCCTTTTTTAAATGCACTGATATAAATGAGAGACAGGAAAGCCGATCCCTTTTACCCCCCGGATGATGTGTTTTGGGTGTGGAAACCTGACCCCTGAACTACACACAGACAAACACGCCCTTTGACTTGATTGGCTGTGCATCTCTGTCCCACTGCAGCATGGGTGTCAGGGTGATGGACACTTCTTGGGTGTCGCGCAGGGGATCGTCGTCTACGCGTAAATCCTTGTCCACGCCACCGAGTGTGCACCCCCCCACCCCACCCATTGACGCGCTCATCCCCGAGCAGCCTGGGGAATTCTCAGCCTCCCCCTCCCCCACCCCTCCTCCCACTAGCAGCGACCGAGCCAGGTAAGGCAGTTGTGGCCCCACCCGTCCTCCTGTTTCACCTCCCCACCCCTCCTTTTCCCCTGCTCCACGCCCGCACACACACCTGCTGCCGCTGCTCGCTCGTCACCGCGTCTGCTGCCGCGCCCTGCAAATGACACCCGAACTGCGCTGTCTGCCCCTTCCAACCCCCACCCACCCCACCTCCACCCCTTGTTTTCTTGTCTGTCGTTCATCCTCACCTCTGTGTGAACCCACCCTGATGAGGCATGTCATTTAGAACTTCTTTTCATTTCAACATCTCCTCACCCCCTGAATTTCCTGAGTCACGCGTGGAGTTAATTTTCTGCCTGAGTGGTGATACTGCATATCATGTGAAGATTTCACTTCTACTTAGGGCTGGGTTTAACCAAAATGTGTTGAAAGGTTCATCCACAGTTCAGTAGAAAACTATTTATTGCTGCATGTGCATGGATCACATCTCTATTTTTCTTTTGCCATCAGTCCGAGCATCATTAGCAGCAAAACGGTCCATTGTCGCAGGAGCCTGCAATGGATGAGGTGGCTGATTTTCTGTTTTATTATTTTGTTTTCTTTGTGCTCTTCCCCTCCTGGAGCCTTCACTTCACTGTCCCAACAACGATTACTCCTCACCTGATTTTTCCCCTGATTTTTCCCTCGTTATGGACCAAACGTAAAGTTTCAAATCCACACATCCCTCGTCCTAGAACTAATGAATTCATCCGCTTGAATCACTGATATTTCTATCATTGCAGTTCAGACGATGCATCCTCCAATTGGTCGGACTCCTGTTACGCCTACCCCTCCCCAGAGGAGGAGAGGCCGCCTCCCCCTTACCCCTCTTCCTCTTCTTCCTCCTCTTCCTCCTCTTCTTGCTCTTCCTACTCGCTCCCTCACCACCATTTCCGCACCCGAACACCTCCGGGTATGCGTCCCGTTGCCCCCAGCCCCGAATCTGTGCCCCCTGGCCCGTCCCCTCCACCCCGCCGCACTGGGTACAGCCCACCCCCGCTCCTTCACTCCCTGTGCCCATCCCCTCAGCAGCTTGACGTCAACTCCAACCCCAAACCTAACTCCCTGCATCTGCCCAAACCGGCCTCCCCGTCTATTGCTCCGCATGGGCCCCCGTCCGAAACGAATGGCTCCTCCCTTTACATCAAACCCCCGCTCGTTCTCACTCGTCACGATCTCTTCCTTGGCTCCCCGAAAACCCCCAGCACCCCTCTCCCTGCTCCACCTCCATGGGCAGCCTGTGCCTGTAGCCGGGAGAGAGGAGCCAAGCTGACGAGGTAAATACAGAGCCCTGCTCAACCCGCTCCCACTAACACAAATCACACACAAATAAGGAGAGGCCCCCGCAGGGACAAGGAAGCACAAGAGAGGGGTGATTTTTTTTTTAAAAAGAAAAAGAGAAACTCCCTTCAGTGCCACCCTACTCTGTGTTCTATTAACTCGCTTGGTTTGCAGCTGTCTCTTATAGAAATCAAAGCGCTTTAAGGATTCCATTATCACATCCATCTTTAATTTTGCTGCCATGTATGCAATCCATAACTTTCCATGTGAGCAGGGTATTCAGGAGCCTGTTGCCAGGCAACAAAGGAAATCCAAAGCTTTCAGTCAATGATTATAAAAGTCAGCGTTAATGAGTCAGTGAGATTTTGAATGCGAAGGCAATGATGTATGCAGGAGCAAAACAGCACTGTTTGATATTTAAGGAAACCCCAAAAAGCATCTGCTTTGGTTTACAGCAACATGTTCATATGAGTTTAAAGGGGACCTATTTTGCTTTTTTTATACATATTTGCACTGATAGAGAATAAATAGTTTCCCCTTATGTAAGGTTGCATTACCCATCTACAAGCTGATTACCAGCAACCATTAAAAGAGGGAGGAAGTACACACTGCTAACTACCACATGTCAGACAAAACCAAAGACAACCACAGTCTCATAAAGCGTCCTTTAAAAAAAGATGAGGTCACAGTCCTGTAAGAGATGTTTGGAGGTGTTGAACAGTCAAATACATCTTAGTAAATATCAGAAAACATTGCTATCTTCTGCCGCTTATAAACAGATTTGAACAGCAGGTGGTCTGTCCACTCTCTCTGACATCATTCAGAGCTAAGAGCAGGAAAAACTGGCTGAAATAGGGCAGAAGGTAAGTAGTAGTAGTATCACAGATATTACTTTTACATATGCTGACCTCATTAATTTGAAACTTCAGCCATGTTTAATATGAAAATCCAGATATCGTATCAGCATAATAGCTTCCCTTTGAATGCCGGCTGCTTCCATGTCTTGTTTGCTGAAGAGTGAGAGTGTGTTGAGGCGTAGCTGAGGAGAGTCAGTCGATCAGAGAGTAAACTGGTTATGTTTTGACCTTAAGACCTTCTTCCCATTGGCATTCTGGCTACACTGTGCTGTAAGAGTAAGGAAAATTTATTAAGCTGTCAGGATATGTTTGAATTTTCTTTCCTTCTTTTTTTGCTCAACTGCATAAGCTACATGTCCATCTGCAACAGTGGTCACCTGGACAGTTTGAATTATGGCTGCTCTCATATATTTTCCTTTTTTTTTTTTTATAAAACAAAGAGATTTATGGAGGCAGGGTTAGTAAATTACAGAAGAAAGTATATCGTAATGTGTGTGTTTGTGTGTTTTGTCCTTCACTCTCTCCTCAGTACTCTGAAGAACAAGGAGCTGTCTCCAGTGATTGGACAGAAGGGGCTCCAGGGAGCAGTGACCTCTAGTGGACAGTCGCAGCTCTCTGACCACAGTCCGCACACCTTGAGGAGAGGTAATACAACTAACTGGGCATGTATGACAGGGATCTCAGCTTGTCTCAAAAACATGGTAAAAATACTTTTGGGGATTTAAAAACTCTGCATCTTGCCCAGTACTGTGACAGCAAAAAAAGATGCAGCACGCTGTGTTCATTTAGCTGTCTCTCAGGCTCTAATAGAATCTGTCTAATCTATTAGTCAGTGCTGTGAATGAGGTCATTTTAAGTTACAGTGGAACCTCTCGTGTGGAGAGGATGTAAATCTGCAAAAGTGTGTTTTCATTCATTGTTTCCACTCTGGTTGCTGCACAAAAGAGGGGAAAAGGTCCTTGGAAAACCACATAACTGACTGGCTGCAGTAGAGTTTTATCTGCTAAAATATCCTCAGACTCGAAGGATAAGAGGGCGATGTTTAGTTTGAAGAAATAAACTTGACTTGATGCTGTATGATTGAAGGGTTTAATTAAGGCAGATATTATAATTAATGAGCAATTTGATGGGTAAATTTGTCTGGGGAACTTCAGAGTTTATTAGACTGAAGACGAGACAAGCATCTCTTTTACACTTAAACTTTGATTTCACACATCACTTGTCAGAGTTGGCCTGTAAAAGAAATTGTGTTTTATATGAGTTGATATGTGTGAAATTTGACCAAAAAACTGCTTCATACAGAAGAAAAGAATGACAAGAGGTCGCGCTCTGATGAAGTTCACGATGCAGAAACATTAGTGTATTTGTTAATATGGCCAGAACATATTAAACATTTGAATTACATTGACTTTGGTTTAGCATCACACACTAACACACCAAGACATGCATCCTTT